TTACCACACTTAGGAGGTGGAATATTTTCTTTAATTTTTGAATGTGACCATTGAGATACCCCCTTTCCAACAAAAAAAGAATCATCGCAATCGGTTCACAAATGTCGGAGAGTAAAGAAAAAAATACCATCGAATTGAGAACTTCCTCCTTTTTTGAAGTCGGTTAAAAATCATTGGTCATGAAACTGTTTGTTTCAGATCTAAATTGCGTACCTTACTGGGACACAGCCGTGACCATGGGACCTGTAGAAAGCCCGAAACGTTGGTTTGTTTGAAAAACAAATATGTTATACAATTTAGATTCAATAAAACTAGTTACATTTTCAAAAATACTGGTTAATTTGCCAAATTATGGGCGAGTGTGGGGTTTCAAAATGTATTCTGACAGTTGTGGCAATTTTTGCAGAAGAGCCCTCGAACATCTGTGCTCAGTAAAGGGCAGTCTGAAGTATTCATTGATTTTATTGATAACATTATTAAGGGCCCCGTAAACGATCAATTAATTCGTGAAATGTATCCTTCAAACTTCACGTTTTCTTCAAACAATGTCGCAAACGGTGAAATAAAAAATAAAACAAGTTTGACAAACTTGCCTGTAGTTCACACTCGGTCATCTATTTTTACAGTCGTACGTACCGTTCTGTAGTTAATACAATGAGTCATATCTCTTTTGTATTTGTGCAATAAGTAAGAATAATAGCTAAAGTGTTTCTGGCATTAACTGCAGCACTATGTATTAAGTAAAACAGAAATGTATGTTGGTATAGAGAATGCTTGAAATTAAGAGAAAAAAAACCAGACGACTATATGGAATCTAGTAAGGTGTTTGACAAACATGCCAGCATACCTTCAAACATATTTGTCGAACACGCCGTCAATCTAGATTTCCATCAAATACGTATATAATTTGACGAACACATCAAACACGACCGTAGACGATGAAAAAGTTTGACAAACACGTAAAAACGGAATATGATAGATTTTTCATAGATGGCGCTACGGCTAAAAAGTCGTTGAAAAACCAAATACAGAAGCACGACAACAAGCACATAGAAAAATTCGCGAGGTCCGCTGGTTCGTTCCGTGGCTTAGTTGGTATAGCGTCTGACACGTTATGCTAGAAGACCTCGGTTTGAATCCGGCCGGATTGAAGAAGTTTTTTCTGAGTGTTCAATCTTTGTATTAATAATTATGACAAACACGTAAAATTTGACAAAGTCAAAGATTATTTATTCCATAGGTAAAATAAATTTACACTTGAAAACGTCACATTTAAGCTACTGCTCGTTCACTACGCTGACCTCCCTGAGAAGAACGAGCAAGAAACTCTAGGGATTGCTCTTTTCAAATAAAACTTAAATGCTATGGAATACACTTTGAATCAAATTTGTGTGGATTCTGGAGCCATGTCGTCTTTCCATACATCTTTATCTAACACGTAGTCTTCAATTTTGTAATATGATTTTTCGATCAAAATATTTTTAATGTAGTTTTTAAACTTAGGAAATGATAAACTTAATATATGCTCCGGAATCTTATTGTAAAAACGTATACAGTTCCCCATAAAAGAGTTGTTTACCTTGGTTAAACGAAATCGTGGTACCATGGGTTTGGACTTAGCTCTAAGGTTAATAGTATGGATATCTTCTTTCTTATTTAAATTATGTATATATATACGGGCATATAAAATATTTGAGTAAATGTACTGCGATGCCACAGTCATGATACCAGTCTCCTTAAACTTTTCTCTGAGAGATACCCGAGAGCCTAGACGGTACACAGAACGAATCGCTCGTTTTTGCAATACAAATATGGTTTGAATATCTGCCGCTTTAACCCACATGAGAATCCCGTAGGACATTATACTATGGAAGTAACTAAAGTAAACTAGTCTAGCAGTACTAACATCGGTAAGCTCACGTATTCTGCGGACTGCGTATGCAGCGGAGCTTAATCTGCTGGCCAGGGACGATATATGTGGAAACCACTGAAGTTTACTATCTAAGGTCACTCCCAAGAAGACTTTATTAACAAGGTCTAACTTTTCTTCGTTTATTTCTATGCTTGGACTAGTCGATTTTACGTTAGGTAATTCAAATTTAACACATTTTGTCTTCTTGGCAATAAATTATTAGCATTAAACCAATAAACTACCTTAGAGAGGGTATCATTAATACGGTCATGGTTAGTGTCATGTCTGTCTGTTTTAAAAATCAAGGATGTGTCATCAGCAAACAACACTATTTCGCAATGGTCCTTAACAAAGAATGGCAGATCATTAATATAAATCAGAAATAAGAAAGGTCCAAGTATTGAGCCCTGCGGAACACCCATTTTTACTGGAGAACCCAAAGAAGTTTCTCCATTTATGTCTACTTTCTGAATTCTACCGTTGAGATATGACGAGACAAGTTTCGACGCCTTGCCATTTAAGTACACCGTAATGTTCCAGCTTCCTAATAAGAGTATTATGATCAACGCAATCAAATGCCTTTGAGAGGTCACAGAAAACACCAATAGCGTTCTGGGACCTTTCCCAAGCATCAAAGATGTGTTTTAGTAACGCTACCCCCGCATCGCTAGTCGATCTACCACTAGTAAACCCGTATTGTTCACTATGAAAAATATGATTCCTACCGAAAAAGGACAGTAATTGAGTTAGCATAACCTTTTCGAATATTTTACTTAAAGCTGGTAAAATTGAAATGGGCCTATAGTTGCTAGGATCAACTTTCCTACCGGTTTTGAATAATGACAAATAATTTGATCGATTACGGGGCACTTTACTATCGACATATTAGTATAAATAACATAAGTACCTATAGTAACTTCATGCATACGTAGTAGCGTGCCCTAGGGTGCGTTCCCATTATCTCGTGACGGCAGATAGTCGTGCATTTTATAGTGTCGTGGCTTGCATTATATGAAGTTGTTCACATATAGTATAACACGATTAACTTTCTTCACGACTTTTTTGTCGTTACTACGTTAGACAATGGGAAGAGCTAGAACGACAGTCGATCGACTATAAATAAAACGTCACGATAAAAATGAGACGACAGGTAATCGCAGCTTCAAACGATTATGTCGTGAAATGACAAGATGGCTGCCTTGAACCAATAAATTGTCGTCACGATCTAGCGGAAACAGCTAGACACGACAGTCGTTCAATGATAAAATAAACGTTCACGACATAGTCACGGCAGATAGTCGTGACATGGGATGGGCTAGACGCGACAGTTGTCCAACGATAAATAAAACGTTACGACGTAATGGAAACGCGCCCCTAGATGTGTACTAAGTAAAATTTGCCATGCACGGGGCTTAAAACTATAGTGAAACAAAAACTTTATACTAAAGGTTATTATACAACTTCTGCGTACTTGGATGACAAAAATCTTTGATGTTTGGAAGCAAAAAATATATATACATTGGAATTGTTGAATATGTACAAATGTTATTTACAAAGAGCAACCCCTAGAGTTTCTTGCTGATTCTTCTCAGGGAAATCTACCTTACAGTAGAGGAGTAGAGTTTAATCAGTATGACGATTTCAAGTGTAATAATACTTGATTTTGATTATATGAATTCAAGAATATTGTTTGAACAAGAGTGCCTCAAATTCAGAATTGCTCAGCATTTCATTTCTCATCATCAACCCATTTATACATCCCACTGTTTGGCACGGGTCTCCTCTTAGGCGAGGATGTCCTAATGCGGGTATATAATTAGGTATAAAATTAGGGATCATACAAATTTTTGTTGATCTAATTTCCTTGCCTCTGTGTATGCAAAACACGTAAAAATATATTCCTGAACAAACTTGGATTTGGGCTTATTATTCTGAAAAGTCTAAGAGTCAAAAGGAATTAATGGTATTCCAGTTTGATGTTTTGGAGGTTATGTTTTACACAATTTAATAAAATATATTCGGTGTATTATTACGGCAAAACAAAGAACTGAAACCTTCTGAATCTGAATTAATAGAAGCGAACTGATGCCGTGGGTTTGTGTTGGTTGGGCGAAAGTTAGAGGAAAACATTTTTGTAAGCATCGGCCAAAAGGCATGAAGTGGAGTACCAACATAATCTCAGTACAGAGTACTAAAAAACCGACCTCAAAAGTACGTGGAATTACGTCTATTTGCTAAGTTTAATTGAAATATCCCCTAGTTCGCTCCTATACAGGACTTGACACTGAAGATAATAAAAATCGGTTCTCACTACTCAAAGTATATTGAGAGAGAAAATCGCCTTGAATTAAAGAAACAGCAAAATCAACCATTAAAGTAATTGCTCCTAAATTAAAGTTAGGCGCTATTTATAAAAATGAATCTTCATGCGTGAGTAGCCACCCTTCGAGGTGGATGATTTTGTTCTTGAAATGGGACCACTTTGGAAGTACCCCCTTTTCAACAAAAAAAGAATCTTGAAAATCGGTTCACAAATACCGGAGTTATCGCGTAAGATACATACAAAAAAAAAGAAAAAAAAGACCATACAGTTGAATTGAGAACCTCCTCTTTTTTGAAGTCGGTTAAAAAGAAGAATCAGTTAATACAATTATTTTTTTGTGAAACATGCCATCTATCCCTGAAATCGAGAACTTTTCTGTCACTTTCTCGCTTATAGTATATTTAACCAGAAATGTCATTTAATTTGTTTGAAAACGATTCTTTCAAATCATTACGGTGACAACTGCGCTCCGATTGGCCAGCCCGAATTCGAAACAATTGACGGGTTTCACTTCAAAACGACCAGTACATATTTATTACCGATGAAATGTGATTCCGTTTGGAATGGAACAGCCTCCCATTGTTAGAGATATTATCTTTATTATAATAAATACAGAAAATTTTTGGAATCTTATACGAAAACGTACATCCAGGTCAGTTGTTGGCGCTGTACTATTTCAGCTTTCCAATTTGTGATTTCAGCGCAAACAAAACAGCGAATTCAGAACCTCCACCTTTTTAAAGTCCGTTACAAAGGTCAACGTACTTTGATTAGTGATGTTTTTCGCCTTTGTGAGCTGAGTAAGGTCATACATCTTACTCCGTCATGGCAATCTTATCAGATACGGTAGTTACTGAGTAAAAAAACTGTATAAGGGCTGATGCTGTGGACAATAATCAATTTACTAACCGATAGTATAGTAAATAACCTGTAACAAGAGAACAAAAAGGACTGACCTTAAAAATTCGTAGAATTACAACTATTTGCCAAGTTTTATTGGAATCGGTTACCGGAAAGTGTGCATAGAGAAACCTGATTATAGTGAATCGCAACAAGTCTCTTTGTATATTTTTAACCGACTTCAAAATGGAGGAGGTTCACAATTCGACTGTATGTTCTTTTTTTGTATGTATGGTACGCGATAACTCCGGTATTTGTGAATCGATTTTCATGATTCCTGTTTTGTTGGAAAGGGGGTACTTCCAAAGTGGTCCCATTTCATTTTGAAGAAAATCATCCACCTCGACGGGTGGCTGTTCTTCACGCATGAAGATTCATTTTTATAAATAGCGCCTAACTTTAATTTAGGAGCAATTACTTCAAGTCCTGTATAGTGGCGAACTAGGGGATATTTAAAAAAAACTTAGCAAATAGACGTAATTCCACGTACTTTTGAGGTCGGTTTTTTTAGTACTCTGTACTGAGATTATATAATATAGTCTTTTTTAAGCTTAGTTTTATATTTAAATTCTAAATTTCAATGTGTTTGTTTTTGGCCTAGAGGATGGTAACAAATAAAGGAAGTTTTTAGCCCCTTTGTCTTGATTTTAGCTAGTGTTTGCTGTTTTGCTTTAATAGCGACAACGTGTTTTCTAGTAAATTATTAAAAGCCCATGTACTTAGGCTTGGCCTTCCTCACTCGTTGTTAGCACCCACCATTTAACCCATTGATAGAGTCCACTACACTGATTCATCCCTTAGAGGCGGAATATTTTCTTCAAAATTTAAACAGGGAACAATACTGAGGTACCCTCTTTCCAACAAAAAAACATCATCAAAATTGGTTCACAAATCGCGTAACATACATACAAAAAAACTTTTTTTGAAGTCGGCTAAAAATGGTATTCGTTACAATACCCTCATACTATATAGAATTAACCTCTTTTTAACAGTTGCAGTGCTACTCAGAGCTTTAAATCGCAAAGATCTAAGAGGCACTATCACTGCGCCCGGAACCTTGAGACATAAGTTGACAAGTCCCATGTGCCTGTAATTTCGCCGGCACCCTTACCCTTCTAAACCGGAACTCAGTAATGCTCACATTACTACCCGCTCACGCAATGCGCTCCTCCTACTGCAACATGGCGGCTATTTGGTTTCGCAAATTAGAAAAGCATTCAGTTTAAATACAAGTTTTTATAAATAAAAATTATTACTCTGCATTGCTAAATAAACACCTCCGTACTACCAACAAAAACATCTCAAATAAAATGCAGTAATACACCGCAAATCCTGCACTTAAAAAGCACTAATGAAATTTTTGGTGTACTTGGATAAATATGATAATATTCCGTTTGAGTGGTTCTAACGTTTACCATGAAATTACTCCTTAAAGTATAGTTTATAAACATTTATATTCAGGGTAACCTTAATAAACGCTACTTACGGTATGTTTTCAATAAATAAACACCGAAATCACCAGCCCAAACAATAACACACACACGATTGTCGTGACGTATTATTGAAGTTGTTTATTTTTTTTAAATGACAGACCCAGGCATTAAAAGCTTTATGGTTTGTTACACTAGTTACCGAAATAGCAATTAATATTAGTTCTTTTACATGTTATAACTTCGATATCCGATAAATCGGCATAAAATCATCACCGGCACCTCTAGGTGAGGTATGCGTCTACGGCTGCATGTATCGCGTGAGCGGCTACTGGGCGGCAGAAATAGGTAAGGCGGCAGTACTTCCCTGGACGAACTCTTTGACACTGAGTTCTACTGCTACTAAATCTTCAGGGGTGAAATTGAGAAGTGATAAAAGTATGAAAATTAGTATATAACTATATTATATAACAACCAGTGGAATAATTTCACATAGAAAATAAAAATTTAAATCAGTATAGTATTACGCTACTTGAAGTACAAACTTATTCTACGCAGTGAAGACGCGGGCACTAGTTAGTAATAATATAAAATAAATAAACGTTGAAAGAACATCTTGTTATAGAAGATTGATTCCGCAGGAGGTCGTTTAAGGGGTAGCTGGTTAATGGAGTCTTGGACGTTGAGCCCAGCATTATGCTCAAAACTGGAGTCCTTTGAGATGTGGCTGTATAGACGTATGCTTGGCATATCGCAGGTACAAAAGGTCAGATTGAGGTTCTTCGTCGAAAGAGAAAAAAGTGGGAAATACTTAGAATTGTATTTATTTATTTATTTATTTATTTACTTACAGCTTTACCATTACAGTAATAAACACCAATGCGGCAGTGTACATATTCAAACGTATATATGTACTTATATAATAACTACATTACACTAAACATATACTAAAACAAAGAAACCACAAATATCAACTTAATACATTACAAATAACATATAACATACAGGGTCATTCTTGTAAATTCACACAGAGTGCATGAGAACAAGTCTATCCTGTCTGCAACATCATTCAGGATTCGCAGAGCTCTTGTAAACGGGGCCTTCTGGATTAAATTAGTCTGGCCGCGCGGGACTGCCAGTAGGCGCGGTTTTCGTCGCCTCACTATGTAATCATTAGGTACGCACAAAAACACTCGCTCCAGTATACTGGGGTTAAAGATAAACCCTCTGATTATTTTAAAAAGTATCTGAGCTAATGCAAAGTCAATTGTAAAGAAAAGGAAGCTGCAGTATGTTTTCAAGGAAAGCACAATCGTGGCTGAAGAAAACTTTGTGGTTGAAGAGTCTGAGAGACTGGTTCCACCTTAGACCACGTTCCCTCTTTCGTACATCTTCAAAAATGAGAATAGTCATTATGGTCGTAGAATGTTCATAGAGAAGCGGTACAATAAGAAGATGAAGGTCAATGGTGTTTGATCCGGCAAAATAGTTAAAGAGTTTAGTCGCTGGTAGCTGTAAAGGTATCAGGATGAGTGAAGAAATGGATTTCTCATAGATAGCGCTATAGCAAAAAGTGGTTAAAAAACTGAAAAATGGATGTGCAACAAACACATAGAAAAATTCGTAAGGTCTGTTGGTTCGTTCCTTGGCTTAATTGGCAAAGCATCTGGCACGAGTTGCCTAAAGGTGTTGTGATTTGAATCCAGCCGCATCGAATTTTAAACAGTTGTGAGAGACAGGAGACTGACAAGTGAAAGTGTGCCTTGTTTGTGTGTGTGTGTGTGTGTGTGTGTGTGTGTGTGTGTGTGTGTGTGT